CGGATAAGGTCTCGGATTGGGGCGACTAAATCTAATTAAGCAATACCCAGAAGACACAAGTTTGCGCGTTTACCACTAAAAAGAACCCCTTTGTCGTAACTCCTTAATTTCAGGGCACTTCCCTTGTTACCTCAGCCAGTATTGGAATCTTCGGCGTTGACATATCGAATAACGTGCAGTTTCGTGGTCACTTGGAAGACAAGGCCAATTTGGTCTCTAAAAAGCTTGGCGTACTCAGCAGAGTGGGATAGTATTTTATCCCGGCACACTGCTTGCAACTTTACAAGGAGCAGGTTCTGCCTAACATGGAATACTGTTCTCATTCCTGGGCCGGGGCTTCTTAATACCTGCTTCTTCAAGAGATGTTACATCCCTTTGCATTTTCTATCGCATTTACTACAGGGAGGGTGTAGAGAATTTGTTCGGATTAATTCCAGCCATAAAATATCATCAACGCATTTCGCAAATCCACATCATCGGGATGTTTGGTGGTCCACTACTGTCCGATTTACTAGGAGTTTTTTTTTCTCTCGACTTCTTTGTGGAATCGTTTACCACCAGTGATTTTTCCGGACCGATTCAAGAAGCGAGCCTACTCTTTTTTAAAAAGCCGGCAACGCGCCTATAATTCCCCTGGCGTTGTATTTGCCTTCAGGGGCGCCGCATGCTCCTTTGTTACCCTCTTGTATATAAAAAGACAATAAAACGAAGTAGATAATTATCTTTAATAATATTATATTTATGTTCTGGAAGTGGGAGTAATTTTTGTGATTTCAGTTCGAACCGTTCGCGGTCAGGAACTAAAAAGTTAAAACTCGAAAATTCTTTACGCAACTAGGATAGTACATAATTTTTCGAACGTCGTCCTTTGAGGCTGAGGGGCCCCTTTAGTTTGGGGGCCCCGGGGCATTGCCCCACCTAGCCCCTGGGTAGCTACGCCACTGTCGGCTTTCAATAAATTTTGAATTCTTGCAACGACTCTTTTCTTGTTATTGTTAAGTCGAATAAATTAAGGGAACAATCTTGTTCCGAATTCAAGCTTAAATTTAATTTTGTCGTGGACTCTATTTATTTTATTAAGAAAAACATCCATTTTTATGGTTTGTTTACTGTGCCAACTAGGTAAGTAAGGTAACACATCATTTTATTTTATTACGCGGATTTTAGCTAATTGATTTTTTAAGATCTTAAACACGTTCCACTACTGATTTCTAAATTCTAATTGACTAAACTTTTGTACTCATAGATGGCATTTTCATCGAAAAACCGGCAAAAGGAAGATAACTGCATTAGTTACAATTGCCCCATAGTTATAATAATCTCGTAATCGTGTAGTGGCGGTGTAAGAATATTAACTACTCGATATCATCCCGTTGACGTTGTAAAAGGCGACAGAGGGGAAAAAACAGGAGATGGTCATCAGCGTCTTTCTAGTAACGACTAAAAATAAAAAATAAACTGGTTGCCAACCCGCTTGCCAAGCGTGGCAACTGTGGCAAATATCCCTCCTATGAGGAAATTTATGAGAGGATGTCTATATTCAGCGGTGGACTTTAATAGGCTATAAAGATGTAACGGTATAATAACCTCGGGTCACCTTATAGAAATTTCTATCTAAACACTAAAAGGTCGAAAGATAAAATAATGTTGAATAAAAGTTACCTATAACCATAGAATTATTACGCATAGAATACTAGTACGCGCACGGAAAGTGAAGCAAGTTAAACTAACGCGAAACCGCGTAAGTTCACTCAGCGACGCGTCAGTGCGCAACGTCATGTCTTACGGCGGCTCTTCACGTTGGCCAACATACTGGCGAATGTGTTGGCATTATTCTATACAAAAAAAGAGAACTTGAAAGACTTGTTTCACAAACAATTTTCGGCTTGGTAGGGCTCTACAAAGCGAAAAGTTTTTTCATTGGTCATTGTTACTGCCGTTATGTAGAGATGCGTGCATATAAAATTTAAATCAGGTACGTGCAATCACTCTGGGAGCTCGTAGCAAACTGAACGTGCGCCCAACGTGTGGACGCGGCGGCCAATACTCTGCCACAACCCTTTGATCTTTTGTAAAAAACCGACACCAGACGGATCTCGCGCCAACTTGTGGGCCATCGTTCCAATAAGTACCAACGTAGCTTAAACACCCGCTCTACACGATGGCCATCGTTGTTGGCCAATACATTCGCCAGTATGTTGGCCAACGTGAAGAGCCGCCTTAACGGAGAAGAGCTCGCTAAAAATTGTAAAATGACCGTTTTTGTTGTATAATATTGTCACAACAGTTATGATAAACATAAACACTAATACGGAGTGATCAGCTAATCGCGATTCGCTAACGCCATTTTAACAAAACTATTTTATTTTATTTGCTTTGTTTATTGACTAAGTCTACGTTTTAGAGTATAGAATAAAAACTTTTCTATTCACAACATCAAGATATTATTAATAAGAACGTCTTTACTAACCAGATGTCACTTTACACTCAAACATTAACCAGATGTTATTTTAGACCCAAACATAGTCTATTTTAACCGACTCCCCAAAAGGATAGGTTATCAATATGTATGTACACTGATTTCTAAGACAATTCTAGATTTACTGGTTTATGTCGTATCACTACGCTTGAAAGTTCATGTTATGAACATTTATTAGTGGCCCTTCACTGTGTAGGAAGCGCGCGGTAGCGCGTGCGATAGACGTAACACTACATTACGTTCAGCGAATTTTTTTTTCAGACTTTATAATAGTAATTCGGTATAAGCTATCCTGCACGCCCGACCTACTTGCGAGATATTGATATTGGTTTGAGATCGCATTCGAGTTTTGTTTTTCTCGATTGTAAATCTGCCATTTTTACACCCTAATAATTTTTATTTTAATAAATCTATTGTACTACTAAGGCAAAATCATTTTAATTCGGGAAAACATCCATTAAAAATTCAGCGTGTATATTGGATCAATCTGTGTGTATATCCTTTCAAATAAAAAAATCTAAATCGGTTTAGAAATTGTGGAATTCTGAGGTAAAAAACATTAAAAAATACACCGAATTGATAACCTCCTCCCTTTTTGAAGGCGGTTAAAATTAAATATTACACGATGTGCTTATTGTATTCGCGCAAATTAATTGTATTTAATAATATTCGTAAATTTTATTACGTCTGTATTTTTGCACCATTAAAATATGTATAATTAAGTTATATTAGTACCATCATTATTTATTTTATTCCATTTTATATTCTCATAAAATATATCTTCGTACGTAATACGTAATCTTTATTATATCGATTATTTAAAATTAATCAATAAAATAGTAATTTCCACAATTTGATTGCAAACGCCAAAAACTGGTATCACTGAAAGGCGTGTATTTGTGCGTGTGACGAGCGTAGGCACATTCGACTCGCGCCCACTAACATAATGACCTATGCTATATGCATCACCAAAGAGAATATAATCACTACGCTTATGCATCACTTTAACGCTAGTGTTTTGTACTAGACTGCGTTTCTACTGGGTAATAATTCTATGCCTATAATGGCGCCTCTTCACGTTGGCCAACATAGTGGCGAATGTGTTGGTAGAGATATTGGCCAAGAAATTGTGATCGCGTCCACACGTTGGAAGATCGTCCAGTTTGCTTCGGTCATAATGTACTCTGTGGCTTCGGTTCAGGCCAATGTACGGATGAATTTATTAAAATGATTATTGAGGCGCTAACGGCTGCTGCAGTTTATTTATTCACAGCATACCACAACGTGAATGTGTATAAGAAAAGGGTGATCAAAAAGAAATGGAAAATATGAAATTTTATTTCTTGACGGCTCCGTATCGTAGTGCCTTAGCAATGAGTTGCTGCGCTGGGGGCCGTGGGTTCGAATCCCACACGGAACAAGTATTTGTTTAGCCTGCAAATAATTGCTCCAGGTCTGGATGTTTGTCCTTATGCAATTTGTGTTTGTAAACTGCCTCCACGATAGAGGAGAAAATCCTAGTGTGGGGGTAACGTTTTTTTAAAAGAAGATTTCATACGTGGTAGAGCCTAGTATTATAGCCTAGCCTAGTAGTATAGTTGTAACACGAATGGGGAAGGACCACGCTCTCACAGAAGACCAGCGTAAAATAGCAGCTTAATGCTGCTTTGTTTCGTATGGTGAGTGTAGAGGACCGGAGACCCATTTTACTGGAAAAGAGGCATTCTATCTTAGTCCTCACGGCTGACAACGCATCTGCATTTTAATTCGTAAACGAAGATAGATGTAGATGTCTATGGGCCACAGCAACCACTTACCATCAGTTGGACTGCGTGCTCGTTTGTCACACTTATTCTATACAAAAAAATACTTGAAAAACTTGTGTTTCACAAACAATTTTCGGCTTGGTAGGGCTCTATAAAGCGAAAAGTTTTTCCATTGGTCATTGTTACTGCCATTACGTAGACACTAGTTACGATGCGTGCATATAAAATTTAAATCAGGTGCGTGCGATCACTCTGGGAGCTAGTAGCAAACTGAACGTGCGCCCAATGTGTGGACGCGGCGGCCAATACTCTGCCACAACCCTTTGATCTTTTGTAAAAAACCGACACCACACGGATCTCGCGCCAACTTGTGGGCCATCATTCCAATACATACCAACGGTAGCATAAACACCCGCTCTACACGATGGCCATCGTTATTGGCCAACACATTCGCCAGTTTGTTGGCCAACGTGAAGAGCCGCCTTAACCCTCACTTTGTATAACTCAATTTATTGGTTAAGTAATTATGGGATTGTTTAAAATATAAACTAACTTTTTTATTATTTGAAATTTATTTGGAATTACTTGTGAAGGAAGAATTAAATAACCTTGCAGTTAGTAAGTGAAAATATGAAAAAAATATGCAGTTGAAATGTCTTCCTACTTTTTTTTAAGTCAAAATGTTTGTTCTGTAAGTAACCCACTTGCAGAACAAACAACCTTCGGAAAAATAAATAAAAAATATCTTCTTATTTATGAATAAAATTGTTTTATTTTAAAATTGTATTAACTGTTTTTTTAAATAACTTCTGTTTTACTTTTACATCAAATGTATACATTGTTACAGTATAATGTTCTTAGAAGCCTAACTTAATCTCCAAAAGTGCCTTTTTACAGTTCATATGAAATTTTAGGAATAATATGCAGGGTGTCCTTGAATAACCCATCTTAGAAGAAGTAATACGAAACATGCCATCACGAAGAACCACACCATAACACGAAGGGTTTTCTCGGATCGTTGATCACGTTCGCTAACACGTAAACGTTCGATGAGTCCGTTCTGAAAAATATGAAAAAAATATAGGCATTAACAACATTACCATTAAGAGTGGTAGAGCCACGCGGCAGCTTTTGCTGTCGCACGGATGGGTCGGCTCGAACCGGGGTGGTACTACGACCTCACAGAATACCAGCGTGAAGTAGAGGTTTACCTCTGCGTTTCGCTTGGTGAGTGCAGGTGGCCGGAGACCCTTTTTTACTGGAAATGAGGCATTCCATCTTAGTCCTCACGGGTGACAACGCATCTACATTTTGATTTGTAATAGAGGATAGATGTAGATGTCTATGGGCCGCAGCAACCACTTACCATCAGGTGGACTGTGTGCTCGTTTGTCACCTATTAAAAAAAAAACCTAATTTTTATTTTGTTTAGTAGCTTTATCGTTAAAGTATTCTCGTAAAAGTATTTGTTAAATTGTTAAAAAAAAGTCAACACTAGGATTTTCTCCTGTATCGTGGAGGCATTTTAAATACCCACTTAAATTTCATAAGGACAATCATCCAGACCCGACACAATTACTTGTAAGCCGTACAGATACTTGTTCCGTGCGAGAGTACACGCGACCCTTAACGCTGCAACTCATAGCTAAGCCACTGCGCCACGCAGCCGTAAAATTCCACGATATGATAAAAATAATTTATTTATAAAAATTTATAAAAATATTTGTACAAAGTAAATAGGTAATATTATGAGGATGGTAATCTAAAGCAGTTGATTGCTTCTATTTATTTAACAATTCATTGACCACCTACATTGTATTAAAATACGTTACGTTTTTGCAACGAAGAAGAACAAAAAAGAGTGCAATTTTCAAACGCAGACGTTTACCAAACATTTTTTGTAATGTTTTATACTATTTTATTAGAATTTATAGCACATATTATGTAATAGAACTCAAATTAACTATATAAAACATTTTAATTATTAACGCTTAAGTCAATTTGCTTTCTTCGCACGTTTCATTAATAATGGAGTCGCTCCTATATAATAAATAAATGATAAATATTTCAAAAATTCAGCTGCTTAACTCGGGCAATTTCTTTAAAAAGTTTCGAGAAGATTTGAATGAGAATTATATAATTAAATATGAATATTATTATTTTTATATTTTATACTATAAACATTGCTATGAATACGCGATAAGGTAGAGATTTGCGTGTCGGCAATCGATAAATGCCATTAGTGATATATTAATGCTGACATTGATAAAGTAGAAGCTAGGACTGACAAGCATTTCAATGTGTTCATATCATATATTTATACCGAGAGCTATCTAATGTCACAGTAAAACTCACCCAACCACCGTGCGCTGCTATCCAAGATCCAGGTTCTTCATGAAGCAAATCAGCAATTGCAGCTGCAGGTGCGGCCACTAACTCGAGGGCCGGTTCGCCCTCTGATGCGTCTGCAGCTTCACGAGCCAAAGCTCCACATACACAGTATACCGCTGCGATCTATTAATTATACGAGTACAAGTTTAACAGACTGCAAATTTCTAAACATTTATAACAACTTAGTGTAGGTACTCTTTAGACCATTTTAATAAATTTGGTTAAATTACGATAAAACACTTAAAAATATTGAAATACCGAATCGCCAAACTATAATTGGTAAAGTACCTTTGACCAGGTGATGTTTTCTCGTGTAATACGTCTTGCAAGAGCAAGGGCAAGCTCCGCCAGGGCGGTATCAGACCGCAGCATCGTCGAAGGTGCCCGAGTCGCTTGCCGGGCCACATGTCGGAAAGCATCTGGTCGTTTCCTTTCTAGAGCTGCGCAGAGTGTACGTAGTGCGGCCAGCACACCGTTTTCTGTATTAGATATTGCTTCCTCACCACATTCGGTTTCAACCATTTGCTGCAAGCGCTTCATTACAATTTGCTGAAAAAAAATTGAAATATGTAATTAAGTACAAACACCTCGATTAGATTTAAAATTTTTGTCTATGCAATTTTATAGTAGAACAGCTTATTGAACTTAGAATAAAGAATAAAAAATATTATATGAACCTTTTTTGGGCACATTGATGATCTTCGAATTTGGCTTTTAATGTATTGCAAGCAAAGGGCGCGACCTTGCCTAACAATTTGAGGTTTGACTTGCGTAGGCGAAGCAAGACACCAGCCAATTGTAGCGGATAGACGGCGGGATACAGCAGCCGCGGCAGCACTTGATACCATAGTACTGAAGCGCCGTTTTGTGCGGTCCAAAGGCGACAGTGAACGTGGTGCTGAAGTTAACGATTACGCTGAATATTAATAGGACCAAAATTTATTTAGTTTGTGAAAAATACTCTCACTACTTATTTACGACATGGTTTTTAATTTTTTTTTTACTTCTTCATCAGTGGCTCGTAAAAGTACATTGCTACACATGGGCTACTTTTGTTGTTGGGAAGATACACGAAGTACATACGCGTGATTTGCGCAGCACATATGCCTCACAATACCAGATGCCTAATATAAAACTGTGTGGAAGATACTACGTCGTAACTGTTCGGTTAATCGTAAACGACGGCGCCCAGTTCCCGGCGGTACCGCTATTCCTGGCTACGGTGGCGACCATGGTAACGGCAGGGCAGGGGGTGCTAAGAATCTCCGGTGAAAATTCGGCTGCCATCTGAGACGACTCGACCTTTCAACATATAACGCACGCACTCTGAGGACTAACGACAAGATCCTGTAGCTTGAAGAAGAGATAGACAAGTTGCGCTGGGATATTATAGGATTATCTGAGGTCGGAAGAGAGGGGGAGGACATGGTAATCCTCAAATCCGGCAACTTGTTCTTTAACCGGAAGAGCAACCATCTGTTCCAAGGAGATGTCGGATTTATCGTCCACAAGTATCTCGTTAAAAACGTTGTAAAGATTTGGAGTGTGTTGACGAGGGTTGAGTATTTTTAAATAAAACTAATTTTACGGATTTTATCGCGTATATTAATCTATTTTTATATTCCCGGCGTTTCGGGTGCTTTCCAGCACCCGTGGTCACGGGGGACTGAGGTGTTTGACGTCCTGCTGTCATAGTTAGCCCGGCTACCTTCAGTTTTTTAATATTAATTTTTGGTCCGATTTACGCAGAATGAGCTTACAGTATCTTGAAGTCTAGCAGTGGTATACTTGGGTTTGGATTTGATTTTATTAATTATGGGATCCCAAGCAGATGGCAGCACCCATCCATCTTCTGTACTGAAATTAGGATGTTTTTTAATTTCAATAGCCTCGCGAATCATCCTTGGGAGGAATCGGTGTTCTTTTGCGAGGATTTGTGGTCTATCAAATCTAATGTAATGGCGGGGACGATCTTGAAAATGTTCACAAACTGCAGACTTCCCGATACGTCGGTGCTTCACGTCAGCTATATGTTCTTTAACGCGGGTTTTAATAGCTCTTTTTGTTTGTCCTATGTACGAGAGACCACATTCACAATCCAGCCTGTACACTCCTGCATCTTGTAGAGGGATATGACACTTGACGGATGGTAAAAATTGACCAATCTTCTTCAGCGGCTTGAAGTATGTTTTAATGGAAGCTCGCTTCAAGATGTAGCCAACCTTGTCTGTGACTCCTCTGACATAGGGTAGTACAGCAGGCACACGCTCGACTGTGGCTGGCTTCACTCGGTCACTGTGACGTAGGCGCGGGACCCGAAGCTTATTGTCTTGCAGTACTTGCTCGACGTGCTGAAGCTCGGCGGCCAGATGTTTTCTGTCACAGATACCTCGTGCTCTCTGAAACAAAGATTTTCCCACGGTAGCTAACTGTGAAGGATGATGGTGAGATTCACCATTTAGATATCGGTTGGTATGGGTATTTTTTCTGTACACAGTATGACCAATAGTGTTATCAGGATTTCGGATGACTAAAACATCTAGGAAAGCTAAAGTATTGTTTGTCTCTAACTCCATTGTGAATTGTATTTTAGGATTTTCGAGGTTGTATGGGTTACCGAAAATACACAAACCAAACGCTCCACTACGTCCTATAGTAAGCCAGATCGATTCACCAACTTATAAGTTGGCTCAACACTTGGCTAAAATACTGTCACCACTAAGAGGACATACCAGAGCACACACAAAGGATTCATACCATTTTGTTAGTGAGATTAAAGACCTACATCTCGCTGACAATGAAACTATGGTCAGTTTTGATGTTCAGTCACTATTCACATGCCTACCTATTGAAGACTGCATCTCAATTGTTACTAGAAAGCTAGAAGATAACAACATGCCTACAGAATATGCAGTATTACTCAAACACTGCCTCACATCTGGCTATTTATTGTGGAAAGAAGAGTTCTAGATGCAAGTAGACGGAGTGGCAATGGGCTCACCTGTATCTCCCGTAGTCGCCGACATATTCATGGAGGACTTTGAGGAGAAAGCCCTTCTTACTGCTCCTGTAAATCCAAGATTCTACAAGCGGTACCTAGACGATACTTTCACAATTTTACCATCTGACAAAGTAACTGCATTTTTAAACCACCTTAATTCCATAAACCCTAAAATACAATTCACAATGGAGTTAGAGGCAAACAATACTTTAGCTTTCCTAGATGTTTTAGTCATCCGAAATCCTGATAACACTATTGGTCATACTGTGTACAGAAAAAAATACCCATACCAACCGATATCTAAATGGTAAATCTCACCATCATCCTTCACAGTTAGCTACCGTGGGAAAATCTTTGTTTCAGAGAGCACGAGGGATCTGTGATAGAAAACATCTGGCCGCCGAGCTTCAGCACGTCGAGCAAGTACTGCAAGATAATAAGCTTCGGGTCCCGCGCCTACGTCACAGTGACCGAGTGAAGCCAGCCACAGTCGAGCGTGTGCCTGCTGTACTACCCTATGTCAGAGGAGTCACAGACAAGGTTGGCTACATCTTGAAGCGAGCTTCCATTAAAACATACTTCAAGCCGCTGAAGAAGATTGGTCAATTTTTACCATCCGTCAAGTGTCATATCCCTCTACAAGATGCAGGAGTGTACAAGCTGGATTGTGAATGTGGTCTCTCGTACATAGGACAAACAAAAAGAGCTATTAAAACCCGCGTTAAAGAACATATAGCTGACGTGAAGCACCGACGTATCGGGAAGTCTGCAGTTTGTGAACATGTTCAAGATCGTCCCCGCCATTACATTAGATTTGATAGACCACAAATCCTCGCAAAAGAACACCGATTCCTCCCAAGGATGATTCGCGAGGCTATTGAAATTAAAAAACATCCTAATTTCAATAGAGAAGATGGATGGGTGCTGCCATCTGCTTGGGATCCCATAATTAATAAAATCAAATCCAAACCCAAGTATACCACTGCTAGACTTCAAGATACTGTAAGCTCATTCTGCGTAAATCGGACCAAAAATTAATATTAAAAAACTGAAGGTAGCCGGGCTAACTATGACAGCAGGACGTCAAACACCTCAGTCCCTCGTGACCACGGGTGCTGGAAAGCACCCGAAACGTCGGGAATATAAAAATAGATTAATATACGCGATAAAATCCGTAAAATTAGTTTTATTTAAAAATGTGTAGTGTTCGCGTAAATATAAGAAGAGGGTTGAGTATCTTATACTCGGAATCACCAAATGCTATTCGCTGTAGGTCATACAGGTTTACGTACCAACTTCGGCACATCCCGATGTGGAGGTGGAGTAAATGTTTGAGAATATCTCTAGAGCCGTGCATTCCTCCAAAACTCACTAGACGGTGTTAATGGGAGACTTCAACGCAAAACTATGCACAAGAGACTTTCAGCTTGAGTTACGAAATCGTTTCCAGTGTCTAGAAGACTGCAATGTGGACGATATGAATGACAAGCTTGTGGAAACTGTCGATCCGGTCGGAGGTAAGTTTGGCAAGACCCGTCGCAGAAGAACACAAAACTCTCCGATCACACTCTTAATCTCATGGCTGTAAGACGGGAGATGAAGCTGTAGTCTTCAGCAGATTTGACAGCATACAGGCAACTGAACAGACAGATCTTCAAATGCATGCGGCGGGACTTCCGCAACTTTAACACTGCTCCTATTGAAGAAGCGATCGAGCGAAACCTCCAAAGCCTTTGCCAGAGATCGAAGCTGAAGATTGAATGTGGCAGGATCGGGACATCTGATATTTTGAGTGAGATTGACAGGTTCTATAGACAGCTGTACACATCGTTGGAGTCACAGATAAGTGTAAGTAAAATTCCCAGAACAAGTCTTATCCGACACTATTCCGATGATGTCCCGGACTTCAGTCTGAGTGACATTAGAATGGCTCTCCAGCACCTTAAAAACGGCAATTTCCCAGGCGAGGATATAATTACAGTGGAGCTTCTGAAAGCGGGTGGAAAACCGGTACTTGAAGCACTTCGGAAACTTTTTGATTCCGTCTTCCGGGGTGGCACTACTCAGCAGGCGTGGAGCAGAAGTGCGGTAGTCTTGTTCTTCAAGAAAGGCGAAAATGCTCTCTTGAAGAATTACAGATCAATATCTCTTCTGAGCCGCATCTACGTGCAGTTTTCGAGAGTCATTACGAATCGCCTCGCACGCCGTCACGGTGACTTACAGCCTCCCCAACAATCCGGTTTCCGAAAAGGCTTTAGCACCGTAGACCATATACATACCTTTCGACAAATTGTACAGAAGACTGAGGAGTACAATTTAGGTATTACTTATGTTGACTATGAGAAAGCCTTTGATTCCGACGAGATTTGGGCGGTGCTGCAGTCCCTTCTGCAGTGCCAAGTTGACTGTCAGTATATCGAAGTGCTAAAGTGTTTGTACAGTACGGCTACGATGGCTATATCCGAAACCTATCCAACTGTAGAGAGATGTAAGACAGGCTGATGTAATATCCCCAAAATTCTCCACCGCTCCATCGGAAGACGTTTTCAAGCTACTGGACTGGAAAGGTTACAGTATTAACGTCAATGGCGAGTACATCACTCACCTTCGATTCGCCGACGATATAGTACTTATGGCAGAATCGCTGGAGGACCTAAGTTCTATGCTCAATGACTTCAATAGTACCTACCAACGGATAGGTCTTAAGACAAACATGGACCTAACAATGATCATGTTAACCTCCATATATCACACCTATGCCTGTATATGTTGAGAGCACTAAGCTCGAGGTTGTTGACGAGTATGTTTACCTGGGACAAATAGTCCGGCTATGTAAGTCCAACTTGGACCGAGATGTCAATCGATGGATTCAACTCGGCTGGGCAGAGTTCGGGAAACTACGACACATCTTCTCATCAGGCATACCTCAAAACCTCAAAGCAAGATTGCACAACCAGTGCATATTGCCAGTGATGACCTATGGATCTGAAAGGTGGTTCTTTACTGCTGGCCGTATAAGGAAGCTCAAGGTCGCTCAGCGAGCTATAGAGTGGGCTATGCTCGGGGTGTCTCTGCGTGATAGACTTAAATATGAGGATACCCGCAGTAGAACCAGCGTGACCATCATAGCCCAACAGATTTGTAAGCTGAAGTGGCAATGGACCGGCCATATAGCTCGAAGAACCGACAACCTCGTACCGGCAGGCGAAGCGTAGGTCGTCCCCCCACAGGATGGAGTGATGATCTGGTAAGGCATGCTGGAAGTCGATGGATGCAGGTAACTTCGTGCTTTGTAGCATTCCTTGGGGGAGGCCTATGTTCAGCAGTGGACTTGTGAAGGGCTGTAATGATGATGATGATAAACCGTTCGGTTTGCAATCAAGGGGTGACGTCTATCGTAGAGTTTTATACTTTACAACTAGTGTCGCAGCACACACGAGCTGAGCACACTATTAATGTATAGTCTGACTAATTGATTAACTATTAAATATTTTTGGTAAATACTAAACTAAATCAAGAATTTGTATCAGATTATTTTTTATTAATTTATATCTCAATCCTAATGTGTACTTTTAATTACATGTACGATTTAGCAATAATGTAGCTAAATACCAGATCCACCAATAATGCCTTCGGCGGCGCTGGGCAAACTGCTAAGTGGACTGCTCAGCTTCCTACGCGGCCTCAGCGGAGGTACGATCTCATCATCTTCTTCGCCATCGGGTGGAGTGACATGTATTGCTATGTTGTTGCCCTCTTGAGTTTTCTTCCCACCCGATTGCCATCTTAAATCTGTTAATGGCCCTATCTGAAAAAATTTATATGTACATGAGAGTTGCTGTTTATTTTTTAATAAATACTTAATCATATTGGCACCGTGAAAATACACAGTGCCTATGCCTTAGCCAAGTCAACTGTAAAAATAATCATGAATTTTACCCCGTATTATATTTTTCTATTTTTATTTTTTTTTGTTCTGAATTATGTAAGAGTAACTGTGAAATAAAATAATTTGTAAACTAAGTATTTCACGTCTTTGAAATTTATGGGCGTTACGTTTTGTCTGTAAGTATTTTGTTACATTATGTACACGATTGAAGGCAGGCCTCCTCGAATTTTTTAAAGTTTTGGTGCAATTAAGTGACTCCCAATACGTGTTGGCGGACTTCACATGTCTTCGAAAGATTTTTTTTATTTCCTAGACAAGCGGGTTTCCTCACGATGTTTTCCTTCATGGCCGAGCACGTGGTAAATCAGCATTTCAAATTACAATTAATAATCTCATTAGTGCCGGCTTGCTCGCGTACAGATTAATTTTTAAAGTGTATGTGCATATAATAATCTCCTCCAGATCGCAATTTCGGTCACGACGGCCATTCTCAACGGAAACTATCTGCCTGTCCCTCGTAACTCGGGCACTGCAATCCTGTCCTGCAGGACAGGACTATCTGAGACAATAGAACTGTATAAAAAAAGTGGTATGAACAATGTGTATTATGTGGAACGGACACCGAGAATAAGTTCAGCCATCAATCAAATTTCGCGTATCTAATGTTACAAATTAGCTGTAATTTTTCTTTAAAGATAGTCTCGGGAGATTACGTGACACATCTTGTCATCAAGTCTACCTTGAAACTTGAAAAAAGAAGTATACAATCAGTGCGTGTTATCAGTGATGACATATGGATCTGTGACGTGGTCCTTTAGAGCTGGCAGTATGAGATAGCTCAATGTCGCTCTGCGAGCTATGGAGAGAAACTATCTCTGGGTGAATAGTCTCGTAATGATGATATTTGCAGTAGATACAGAGTAAATGACATAGCCCAACGGATCAGTGAGCTGAAGTGGCCATCATGAGCGAGCCATATATCTCAAAGAATCGACACCGATGGGGAAGAAAGGTTCTAGAGTGGCAGCTTCATACCGGTAAGCGAACTGTGGGGTGCCCCCACAAAAGGAGTGACGACCTTGTAAAAATGCCGTAAGTCGATGGGTAGGTGTGGTTTTGTTTAGTATAAAATTGAAGTTTACAGATGCTTAGTGGCTACAGATGCGTTCTCACCTCTAAGGTCTAAGATGGAATGCATCACAGCCTGTAATTGTATTAGCTCATTATACCCTTTAGATCGGAACCACAGTGTAAATACTTTCTTCTTAGGCTGAGCCGGAACACAGCTGTGCACACTGCTAATTGGCTTCGGAAATAGGTAACCACCCCCTTACCTATTACACCTATTACATACTTAACCAAACGGACACATAGGCAAAAAAGAAGTCCTACCATCTGGTATTACACAGTATCGCATATTGTTTTATTAATTTTCAAATAATAAATATAGAGTATAAAAGAATTCACATATTTTATATTTCTAAGATAATTGTGAAAAAGTGGGCGTAAAGGGCGCCACTAACTCCGTAAATGTGAAGCGGATGTTTATCGTAAAAATTGCGGCACTTCTTAGGTCTCTACATATGAAATTAGTGTTTTGTCGAATTGATCACTTTGATCATAAATATCTAGCGTTTGGTTAATAATTCCAAATTCAAATTTATTTCAAACTAGCGAAAATTAAGTCTATTACATTTAAATTTCTGATGAGAAAAAGCTAGTAATCGGGGAATAATAAATGTTTTCTTGCTCTCCTGAAATTTTTGAAAACTTGAGGTTCGGCCCTTTGCGGCGTCAACGACGAATTGGTACACCTACATTCTTTGATTTATTAAATATATAATATAATTCTTTTTCGTTTTGCTTTTTTCACATGTTCATGTAGACTTTTATAATTACTTCGTACTAAACAGTAATTTTTTATGATTTAGTACAGCAAATATGTTGTCATGTACGATTGGATTATTTAAAAAAATAAAAGTAAAAATCGCCTTAAATTGTCGTCGGATCTGGTTGATATTCAATTGATTGAATATGGCTTGCTACAAAGTTTTATAATACAATTTGAGTATTGATTTGGATCAAAATCACCTGGAAAACATCAATATTTGCATACATGCTGATGGTTTTGGGACGTGAACCGAATAATCCGGTGCTCGTAGTAGTACTTTGGTTATTGATATGTTCAACCCTCATTAAAATAACGTAAACGGTAGTTATATATTATATAGATTAAAAATCGTAGCACACTAATAAAGCGGAAAACTTGAGGTTTTATAGGTCTGCCTTTTAGAAATCATGACAGGCTTCATGATTATGAGCTTTTTTAATATTACAGTGATAAACGAGCTGATTGTCCATTTCATGGTAAGTGGCTGCTAAAAATTATGTCATATATGTATGACCTTTAGCAGCCACGGCTACATCCCCACTGACCGTCAGATAGAATATAAGTAAAGCACTGCCTTAAATTATAATAATAATAATAAAAAAAAACTTTTGCTGCATATATTTATTTATTCTTTATTGCAACCTTATCAAACAAAATATTACAATGGGCGGCCTTAATGCCTTTTTGCCTTGTCTACCAGTAAACCTCTTGCCAGTAATTCTCACCACACAACTATCTGATTTCGAACCTAGGACAAACATGATCAACAAACGCGCTTACAACCACTTGACCAACGAGGCTGTCAGATGAGAGAGTGCACATTGCACAAACTGGACATACACGTACATGGATGTACAAATAAACATACAAACAAATGAAATTAAAATATACCTACCACCTTTTTTCTAATTGCATTATTTTTTATTGCTCATACACATAATTCATTCACATTTTTACATTGTCATCCAATTCTGAGGTATGTTCAAAATTTCAAGTCCCTAGCTCATCGGGAAGTTAGTTTAAAATAAATTACTAAATTCGACCCGAACAGACATACACGAAAGCGAGTTAAAAAAAAAACGTGGTAAAAAGGAAGAATTAATCTACAAACTGAGTGACGAGCGTGCAACGTGGCGGGTGTTCGGCGTGTAGGAAAAGCGCAATGCTCAGCTCAAAAAGAATGCTGAACGCGCCGCTACGCTCCACGCCCTGCGGAACGCTTTCTACTCATAGCTAGTTTAAAAGTTCAGTGTTATCTGGATTGCTAATAAAAATGCTAAGCAGGCAGCGTTTAACTCGATCGAGTCAATGGTGGCCATGGCGATCACTACGTCGGCAATGTTAATTCAAGCATTCAATGTTATTTTGATAAGAGCGTTGTCAGCAGAATACTCAATCAGAACGTAGGTTGAGGAAATTGTAACAGATTGTTCATCTTAAGGTCATGAGTCATTGTAACTGTAGGATTTTATACTGATATTTATACTGTTGTTATAGGATTTTACTCCCGAAATAACTTTCTTAAAGTGATTTATATGTACATACATATAAATAAAATTGAAGTGTCGGTTTGAAATATTGAAATGGCTTCTATTATTCTCAGGGGCTTATTTGTACGCTATTAAGACATACATAAATAACCACTTATAAAAATTTCGTCTGTCTGTCTGTCTGGGCTAATCTTCAATATGGTGAACCGATTGTTGTATAGTTTTTCTGAAAAACTTGGAGATTTTTTTGGTAAATGAAAAAAATATAAAATAAATGGTCTATGATTATCGTAATTCTAAATAACGCCACATTATTTTTTATATAAGAGGGGGCAAACGAGCATGCGGCTCACCTGATGGTAAGAAGTAAGTAGTACTACCGACGCACATGAACAACTGCAACACCACACTGATAGATCATATCCAAGCGAAGCCGGGCGGATTGCTGATTGCTAATTGCATAGTATAGTTGATATTTTGAAAGATTTTGAATTATTTTTGCATAACGTTACTGCCAAACTATAAATTTCTCTATTATCGCATATTATGTACGCAGGCATATAAGATACATAAATTGCACATAAACAAACATCCAAATAGAATAGAATTTACAATATTTACGAAGTTGTAACACAATTGCACGTCTCATAACGCGAAGCGAAAAATTTAAAGGCGCTTTCATATTTTTTTAGCCCCTTTTTATTTTATACTTTGCGTAATCGATTTATTTTGGTAAACATTTTTTTCCATGAAGGTGACACTACCTGTTAAAATAATAGAGCGCTAAATTTGAAACACGGAAATATTTTAAAACTCAGGAATACAATTTTTTTTCGTGCACTTTTGGATTTTCCAAACAATTTTTATCAAATGTCAAACTGATAAGAAATATGAATTTTCAAGCAAAACATATTAGATTGTTGCATGCAATTCTATGCTGAGAGGGGACTAGGGATTCTTCAGTGATTATTTACACGCAACATTGATTCAAGGTAGGAGTAGTAGATGGACTACTCAGAGGTATGACTGTTTTCGTTGCGTCTGTGAATATGAATATGAATTCCAGTGTAATTTTTAAACTTCACGGAACCTATTATGGTCTGTGGTAAGCTTTATCTTGATGTGCTGTTACACCTCTACGCTCTACCATTACGGTACGCACAATACGGATACCAGTTATAATATATATGTTGTTAAAGCCACGTTCTGGAATTGTTATGGAATTCTGGACATTATAAATGTGAATCATATTATGTTCAAGTAAGATAAAATGTTCTATACTGAAATAAATTACAGTTAATCTTCTAATTATAAAAAATAATACTTTGTTTGTTTGTTCGTCATCTGTGCGTTGCTTTACCATTCGTCTGATTACGGTGGAACTTTGAGGAATTGTCGTGCACCCACCCGCGGTTTTAGACAAAAAAGAGGCATTGCAGCGCATGCCGGGAACAGCTAGTATATCATTAAATTATTTCATTTATTTCGCTATCGAGTTTTGTGGTTAGTTATCCATAAACGTTATTTTTCACATACTG